GGGGTGCGGGTGGGAAGGAAGAAGGAAAGGTAAGTCTTTAAGCAGAGGAAGTAATGGACAAAAAAATTAGAGTCTTAAAAAATAAGGTTAGAAATTTAGATTGGACAGTGGGAAAACTTTCCAAGGTTGTTAAGGCACAGATTACCTGGGGTGGTTTCTCATCTATGGAAGATATAAGGAGGTTATGTAGTATCTGAACACAACAGCAGAGGTGGAGCTGGTCCTGCCTTGGGAAAGAAAGACAGACTATGAAATGTCTTGAAGTCCTTCCAACACAACTTTCTGTTATTCTATGAAAAATGCTTAAAATCTACCTTGAACATGTGCCTCCCATGGAGCATTAAAAGGTGTGGCTTCCATGCCAGGCATTTCTAATATTGCATGATTTAAAATAACAGAATTCTCTTTATTGTATTATCAGCTAACAGAAACTCCCCCAAAAGATCTCCAACACCCAGAGATCAGTGATAGGAAAGACTGAGAATATTTTAAGATTTAGTTCAAATATTCTGGAGAGATTTCTGAATCTGAATACCTGAAACAGGCATTTTTTGCAGAACTATCCTCAAAATACCTGTGGGCATCTTCCCAAATCTGGGCCTCAGAGAGGTACAAAGTATTTCTACTCCTACAGTCTGTATAACATTATTCTTCGAGACAGATTGTGTCACCTTTGTCACACATGCTTCACTCTTGCCCTGGATGTTTTGCAGCCACTGGCACCATTGCAAAGCAAGTATAAACCACCACCAGGCTAATGTAATGCCGCCTGTATGTTAGAGCAAATGACTCTGCGAGGCCACAGGGATCTGGGCTCTCCTGTTTTATGCATAGTTACCTGTCACTCTATCGGCATGGGCTGCTTTCAAAGACCTCTTTGTCTGCAAGGTAAACCCAGGCTGGAGATGATCTCAGACTTGAAATCCCAGCCAAGGGAAGTCATCAGGCTACAAAACCCACAAAGTTAAAAATACAGGGAGCACTGGAAAATCAACAGGAAACAATTTCTGCTGACTGAAGTTTTCAGTCTTCTTCCAAACGCCAGCTAGCAGCGGCCCGTCAGATGGGACAAAGCAGCTCCATGAAAACAGCAGCGGTCCTTAACTTAGTCCTGTAAAGCAGGAACAAATGCCAGGAAAAGATTAGGATTGTTCCTCTGCTGTGATTGTATATCTGGGTGTTTTGGGGGCAAGGTAGTTAAGTCCCGCAGACCCTCTCTCCACTCCTGCCTCTTGGCCAGGGTGCCCTGGACAATGGTTGCCAAAGGGGATTTCTCTCTTTCTTTTGGCTCTGGACATCAGCAGGCCTGAAATTGGTCCTGGCAGTTTGGTATGAAGTATTTACCAGCTCGGGGGATTCCCAGGCCTGTTTGGATGTCAGGTGTCTGAACATAGCTTTGTTGGTCTGACTGCTCATGGCAACGCCTGTCAGACTGACTTAGATTCTAAGTGCCAGGCATCAAATGAAGATCGCCTGTTTTCACTCCCAGCAAAACAAAGTGTTAAGCTCTTTAGTACAAGACCACTTAAAACGAAGAAAAGCATTAAAAATATGAAAACACAGACCTAAAACTTCCCTCTCTTGCTCTGGGTTTCACATGAGAGGATGCATCCCTCAGCTGCAGAAGCTGAAGGTCCAGCTCAGTAACACTCTGCTTTCAGAGTGGGACATCTTTGAGGAATACGCAGACACAGAGGTGGGAAAACCATCCCTTCATCTCCCCACTCTACAAAGCCTCACCAGCCCACACGTAAGCTAAGCAGCAGGTATGCTGTGTCCTACTTGTCTTGTTGTGCTGGGGAGATCACTGACGGTACCCCAAGCATCTCCTCTTGCTGAATTTTTTTCAAGGTGGATTCCCCTCTCCTTACATGTATTGAGCTTTTTAAATACATAAAATGCAGGTGCCTTTTAAGGGTACATATTTTCTTATTTCTGATCCCGTATTATCACTGAAGAAGCTTGTCTGTGGCCAAGGCATCACTCTGCAATCTCATAAGAAACGCCCAGCCAGTCACCTGAGCCGCTGCCATTCCCTCTCTGTGTGTGTGTCTGTTTGAAAATGGATTTATTTCTCAGCCAGAGGAATTTTCCCCCTCCTTTCACTGTAATTGGGAGTTACAATGATGTAAGATCACGTAAGGGTGTTGCTTTGAAAAGTTTACACAGGGCCACAGGCATGAAATCTCATTACATCATCGGGTCACCAGTCCACGGTCATTGCTTTAAAATTATGTGGATTTTAAAAGAAGAAAGTTGGAAGTGATTTTTTCATTTGTCGTCTGGCCTCTGAGCCTTTACAGGTGCACTAGTTCTCCATTAGCAAGTTTTTTCCATGTGGTCATGAGGACAAAACATACTTTTTCTCATTTTGGTGGGTTTGGGTTTTCTTTTTTTCTGTATAAAAGTTGTTCCTGGCACTATCTTTTTGGTTCCAGCAACTAGAATCACCAGAATAATGTTAAATACCACAAGAATATCAATAAAATCACAGGCATTAGCAACACCATCTGAGTGCTCTCATATTAGGTAGCCACTGGTTAGAAGACCCTTCTACTGCTGCTCAGAAGACCCTTCTACTGCTGCTCAGGCTCCATTATACTGTGTCTGAAAGAAACACATTAACAGGAAAGGGAGAAAAAAAGCTGTTCAGAGGGAGAAGACTAAATTTTCTGTCTCAAAAACTGAAACCTGATTTACAAAGTCACTAATTTAATATAGAATTCTGAATCCGTACCGGTACATTTGCATCATGCCAGAAAGGGAAGACTGGCATGGCACAATAATAAGCTATTCTAGTCTGGGGTCTACTCATTTGCTCTTAAAGGACAAAACTATGATTTGGAGGCCAAGCCGAGCACTGCTCAGCTAATCCTGCCATCCTCCTCCTGCTGAGAGTGTCCTGAGACCATGGAGTCTTGCTGGCACTCCTGCCTAAGGGCAGCAGAGCCAGCAGCCATGCAGGAGGATTATCACATCTCTTCCCCAGTTAATTGCTCTGATTTGTGTTTTAACCTTCACTGACAACCACTGCAGTCATAGTTGCCCCCGTTCACATTGCCTTTTGCTCCCCAGAGCTTAAATATTCCTCAACAACCTTTCCAGCCTTCAAAGTTGCACCTCTTTTAAAAGATTTAAGTGTTTTAATAATTGAGCAGTACTGTTAATAGCCTACCCAGCTTTGCTAACCCTTTAGTAGTTAAAATCTTAATAAGTAAACCGCATCAGGTGGGTTTCCCTGCTTGTCACCTTCCTGCAGCATAATGAGGCTTTTTAGCTATTTAGGGTGGTTTAAATCTTTTGTACTAGGTTTATAGGTGGCCAGTGGCACGACAGCCGACTCAGACGTAATTCTAAATGGAAGTTTCCAAGTGGAAACTTGAATTTTGAATTCAAATGACCTTACCGCTTTTTATTATTATTCTCTCCTGTATGTGTTTTTCAGCTTGCTTATTCTTAATTCCTTCAATACTTATTACTGCAATAAGCCTAATCCTGTATTCTTGTATACCTCAACTGTGAGAGCCATAAATACTTCTGCAGTCTCTCCAGGGCAAATCAGCTGTAATTGGAGCTCCTGCTGCCTCACCAAGAAAAAAAAAAAAAAAAAAAAGGAAAAAGGGCATATTCCAGCTGAAGCCAATTCTGCATCTGTGTCCCTGTGTTTGTGTCTCTGTTGACCTGGAGTAACGCTCTGTCCTTTTGCTCTGCTCCAGGCTGAGTTCTCCGAGTTGAACCTGGCTGCTTACGTCACGGGCGGCTGCATGGTGGACATGCAGGTCATGAGGAACGGCACTAAGGTGGTAAGGTGAGGAGCGCCAGCTTTTCTTGAAAATCGGGCTTTCTGGAATAATGTGGGAGCAAGCAGGATGACCTCAGGGTCTGACCAGTACCTGAACTGGGGCAACGCAGTCCTGATGACTTTGTTTTCCTGGAAGCGCTGGAAATACTGACCTGACTCTGGTGGTTTTGTATCAGGTTCCAGTTGCATATTACATCGTATAGTCATTGTTTCCAGTCCAGACCCTTCGTGCAACCACAAATGCCTTCTTCTCAGGTTCCTTTTAGCCTTAGACCTCTGAACAAAAGGTACTACAGATCTTCCTTTCCCCTGATATTTCTCTCCTCCTGTGTCAACTAAATTTCATTGTAAACAGTGGCTTGTATTCATTAGCCTACACATGTTAGGTCCTGATCCCAGTGGACTACTCTTGCAATAGCCACAAAGCCTTTCCATGATCCTGAGCCTCACAGCCTGATTTGTTCCTGAAATTATCCCCCTCTTTTTCCAGTTTCCAAATGCTCCAGCCTTGCCCTGTGGTATATCTCAGAGGTGGTATCATACTCTGTTGGATGGGGATTTCTGTTCCTGCTATCATTACTCCATAACTGCAGTCACTGCAAGCAGAGTCTTCCTGAGCAGTGCTTCCTCAATCATGCACCCAGTTCACATTCCAAAAGTGCTGCTCCTCTTCTTTCTGATACCAGAGTGCTTGCAGTTTGGAGTTAATGTTAGATGTGTTCTTACCAGCACTACATAAATAGCAGGGTAAGTTGTCCCATCTGTGTCTGACAGTAAAATGCCTCTGTTTGCATAGCCCTGATATTACTTTTCACCCTTTTGTTCCCAAGCCTACATCTTCATGAGTTTCTGTCATTACACCTTCCAACTCTACATTTCATCTTTGATACAACAGCTTTCCTTTGTTCGTGTTGAAATCTCATTGCTATCCCCAGTCTGTTTTTCTTACTTCCCTACTTCTTTTTGTATAATTCCTTTGCAGTTTTCGGTATATACAGCACCTCCAAAATTAATATTGTTCACACATTTAGTCAACGCTTTTGTCTGTTTGCTTCTGGTTCAGAAATAGAGGTAGAGACACATACTATAGCATGCAGGGATATTTTTGAAAGGGATTATTAGAACAGCTGAAAAACAGCGATTGTGAGCATGCTGGACTCACTTTAATTTCTCAAGATGTCATTTCCAGTCCAAACAGTGCAAAGCAACACTTGTCACTGTCAGTTGGCTATGACTGTGGTCCATCAATTCATTTCAGGTCTTGACAGCTCTCAGTATGCCCAGAAGTCTCCATTCGTTCTTTGGTACAATTTCACAAGCCTCTGCTAAAAACTTTAAAGGTTGAGTCTGTTATATCCATTTGCTTTCTCTTGTCCCACAAATGTCTGTTTCTCAGTGAAACAAAACATATGTCCCAGGAACCAGCCGCTGGAGCATCCATCAGACAGTGTGCCATGCTAATGCGCTCTTGTGTTCGCCTGCTCACGACGCTGGAAGGTTTCCCAAGAACCATTTCCTAGGTTGATCACATCTTCATTTTCCTTCCCGTGCCTTTCCTCTCAAAGCCATTCATACATCTGGCAGAAAGATCTTGAGCTATTAAACTGAAACTGAAGACAAAATTTATTTCACAAGACTGTCTGGGGCAGGGTGTTCATGTTTCTGCTTGCAGTAAATACGCAGGTATTACAGCTAGCCTTTTTGCATGGCTATTTACATATGAAAATGCATGGTTTTATGAATGGCACTAGTTCAGGGGTGGTTTTTTTGTTTGTTTTTGTCTATGCATCTTTAAGGACATGTGCATTTGTGTGGTGGGAGGTGGATTTGGCAAATACAGACTTGTGTGGATACCCCATTTATATGGCATGTGTTGTCCATGGCTTGTTATAGTCCTTACAAGCCCCAGGCATTTGTTTACAGCCTGTGCTGATATGCCCCTGTTCAGCTCAGCTCAGCCAGCTTGAGAGCTCAGGCCATCCAACTTCCACAGCCACTCCTACCAATACTTAGGAGTTACAGAGATAACTCTCCCCCACTTTAGAAGGTGAGGTATGGAGAATAGTTCCGCTGAGCTGTGTGGAGGCCCCTCAGCCCATCCACCTGGGTGCAGCTGGCTTCCCACTTCTCCCAGGTCCCCCGTCCTGCCTGGTGCTGTGTCCTCCCTGGACACACAAAATCAGGGTGTGCAGCCACAGGGAGATCCAACACGGGACACTGTCCACTCACACGCATGCACTAACCCCACCGATGATGATGTGCTCATATACACCTTTTTTCCATCACTTATTAAGCCTCTGTTAATTATTGAGATATTCAGTCACAAGTCAGAATGTTTGTAGATGGTGAGATAGAAAACTCATCATGGTTTTTGAATACTCAGAGTCCTTGGAAATCCTACTGACAGGTTATAGGTAGGAAATACGACAGCATCATACTAACAGGCACATTTGGGATTCCAGCCCCAGGAGCCCTGCCTTCTTCACATTCCTCTTCAAAGCAAAGGCAACAGAGCATGGCAGTTTATTCAAGACAGTGACTATACTACAGACCAGTGGTTGATTTTAAATCAATGAAATAATAAACATTTATAACAACAATAATATCAATAATAATAATGATGGTAATAATAATAATACAAACACTGGGCTATTTTCTCCAGTTTGAAGTTACATTAATTGATAAACTTTCTAATAATCTATTAGCCTACTAAATTCTGTTAGTGTATTAAATTGCAGCAGGTCTTCCAATTCTTTCTTTAAACTAGGGACATTCTATTGCATGTTTAAATCAAAGCTTTTTTTTTTGCTGATCCCTTGATCCTTTTTGACACCTTGGAGTTAAGATATTCTTTTAGTCCCTGTGCTGACTGAGTTGAACTGCAGCAAGAAAGAATTGTGGATCTTCTACCTGGATGATAAACCCCCTAATGAGATGGTATAACAGTCCTTGAAGCCCTACAATTACCACTTGCCTCAGGCAAATTTAAAAAAAAGGAGCTTTAGAAGCATTACTGGCAATTAAAGAGTAAGGAATTGGATGTACACAGACCTCCATGACTATTAGCCTGTGTATCTTTAAACAAGTAGCTACAAGTAAGTTAGCAAACAGCACAACATAAGACAGGAGTTACTTTGCTTGCCTGATTTTTAAAACGTGTGGCTCACAGAGTTTAATTTTACAGTAACAAAATTCTGGGGTTCCACCTCCTCTTCCTAAGTTCTGCACATCTGTAGGATGTGGTGAGGGATTTGATAGTCTCAGTGAAATGTGCTACTGGTGGGAGAGACTATCATCTAACAGATCTCAAAAAATGCATGTGTTTCTGCTGTGCCACTCCACCATGGTATGCGTGAGCTCCATCAGCCTATTCAGCACATTTTCTTCAGAGTTAGAAGAAAAAAGGGTGGCCATGGAATATTTTTTGCAATCTCTAGCAAGTACGGTCCTATTTCAGCACCCTGTAACTCATGCCCTGACTCCGGACAGTGCAGGGGGATGAGCTGGGCGCTGGGAGCAGCGATGAGCTCAGACAGGGCTGGCAGAGAAGAATCTCCCATATGTTGGTCCTTGTTACTCCAGCCCTTCTTGGGGTAAAACTGGCACCAGAGCTTCCCCAGTGAAAATTTAAATATAGGAAGCAGGAGGTGGCACTTATTAATGCCAAAGGATCCCTCACCAACTTAAACATAGCAACCCTTTCAACAGAGAGATGGAGTAATTTTGGGGTGCAATGGCTGGACTCCAAAGCTGTGTGAAAAAACAAGCATGGGCTGATGACTGTTTTTAAAATACTTGGGTGGATTCTTTCTTCTTCTTCCAGTTCATCCACAACTTCCTTTTGCTCAGGTCTACACACAGAGTGAACTGTCTGGGGTCTAATTTACCTTAAAAAGCTCTTGGGCTGTGTCACCTGTACTGAGGTTAGATGTAAGGAATGGGATTTTCATTTTCACTTGTCTTTATTTTTCTGAAGGACCCTTCATAGTGATGTTTCCACAGTGTGAAGAGGCCATCAGTGCTGGCACTGTATCCACCCTGAAGTGCATTTATGCTTTCAGGATATTATAGAAGTGTCTTGGTATAAATGAGAATTTGGGCTGTCTCTGCTTCTGACAACACTTAGACTCCCAAACTATGATCTCAGCCTCTGCATTAGATTGCCTTTTGGGCTTTATAAGCCTTCAGCTATTAATTCCAGTAGATCTGGGAATAAGGCAGGGATATGTTGAAAATCTGGACAGCTTTCCTGCATGGGGAATACTAATGTCTTTGGGAGCATTTCAGACTTTTAAGTATATAAATTAATCATGCACCAGACTGCTCTCATCTCCTGTCTCCCTGAGGAGCTGGCTCTTTTGCCATTGGGGCTGATCATCCAGGGGAGAAAGCACATTTTTGTGTGTCTGCATGGGACCTACCACAGCGGTGGCCATACCACTCACAGAGTGGTATGCAGGCTCACTGTAATACTACAGTGCAGACAATAGCTGATGGACCAGGAGGTGCCCAGTGTCTGAAATGGGGAGAACCCTGCATGGGGCAATGGCCCCAGCAAGAGGGGAGGTGTGACAAAGCTGACAGCAAAGCAAAGAGGAACTCAGTGCTGTGGACAAAGCCTTGCTGTGGGGAAGGATCTCCAGTGTGGAGTGGTGTTTAGTCCTACAGCCCTGCCTGAATTTGGCTGGTCTGTATAAGGTGCGCACCTCAGCCTGCTCGCCCTGGATGACATGCCCTTGTCACAGATTCACACAGATTCACAGAGTGGCTGGGGTTGGAAGGGACCTCTAGAGATCATCTAGTCCAACCCCACTGCCACAGCAGGATCACCTAGAGATCACAGGTGTAGATCACACAGGAACAAGTCCAGGCGGCTTTTGAAAGTCTCCAGGGAAGGAGACTCCACCATCTCTCTGGGCAGCCTGTTCCAGTGCTCTGTCACCCTCACAGGGAAGGGTCACTCACAGCTGTGGTGGGGTAGTGAATGCTCTGATTCGTCCATGCAAGATC